AGCACACGGTGCCCCCCCCCCAAACAAAAAAAACGAATTTCGGCCTCCCCGAGCCTTTGGGGCGCTCCTGCAGAGTGCCCCGTGTCTGTCCTGCGAGCGCGACGCGAAAAAAAATCCCCATGACAGCCAAAGAGGGCCCCGAGACACCCAAAGATCGGCCCAAGACGCCCAATCTGGGCCCAAGACGCGCCCAAGACGCCCCCAGAGACCCCCAAGAGGCCTCCCAAGAGAGCCCCGAGAGGCTAACATTGTTGATTTCCTTGTGTGTTTTCGATGTTTTTGGCCTTCTCGCTTTCCCCGCTTCCCGACGCTCCACAATGGCCCAAGAGGCTCCCTAGATCGCCCCAATACTGCCCACGAGGCCCCCAAAAAGGCCCCGACACGGTCCAGGAGGGCTCCGAGACCGCCCAAGAGGCGCCCAAGACGGCCCAAGAGAGCACCAAGACGGCCCCAAGGGAGACCCAAGAGGGCGCTCAAAAACTCAAAAACTAAATTTTCCGCCGCGAGAAGGCCCCAAGAGGCCCGGAGAGAGCCCCATGAGGCCCCAAGAGGCCCCCAAGCGGCCCCAAGGAGCCCCCAAGAGGCCCCAAAAAGATCCCCATAACCCAAAAACACCCCCAAGAAGCTTCAAAACTGCCTCCCAGAGGGCCCCGAGAGGCGCACCGCGAGATCCCAACACAGCGGTCTCCCCCTCTCATTATCCCTTCTCTTCGTCGTCGCCTTCTTCGTCGTCGTTGTCGTATCAAATGGCGCAGCGAGGCCATTTTGCGTTCAAACCACCGAAGGACCCAAGAGCTCCTCCTCCTCTTCCTCATTCTCTTCCTCCTCTACCTCCTCCTCATCCTTCTCCTAATTCCCCGCGACGTTTCACGCTCCGCCCCGCCAAGTCTAGCAGAAGCAGCTCTCCTCACTCTCCCAAGTCTCTGCTGCGGAGTTTTTCCGCGACACCTCGGCTGTGCCCCAGATATCCACATAATCTGTCCTCTTCATCCTCTTCCTCCTCTTCATCCTCCTCCTCTTCCTCCTCCTACTCCTCCTCATCCTCTTCATGTTCCTCTTCCCGCCTCGACTGAGCTTCTCGCAACACTCAATACAGACCGTCGGGGCCACGACGCCATCTCATCCGGACGCGCCGTTGGGAACCAGGGTTTTTGTCACATTTCGGAGATCAGGCCGTCGGGAACTTTCGGTTTCAGCACACATCCTGGGGAAACAGTCTCTGGGGACTCACGGCCGCACGAACACTTGCAACGTCGGCCACTTTCGCGTGCGACTTCTCGCAACTCTAAGTTCAAGGATGCCCTGAGCAGAGGTGTTCAGACTACTCCTCGCTTGAAACTTCCTCGCCCGGCTGACTTCGGATATGCCCTCCCCTGAGCGGAGGTGTTCAGGCCATTTTCACCCGGGACGTCCTCGCAACACTGACCTCGGCGAGGCACTGTCCCATGGTAGTCTGACCACGTGTGCCTGAGACCCTCGCGCCTTTTACTGGCGCGATGATATGAGCAACTGGTCAGGCCACTACCGCCTGATATACGCATGTGCACGCGCACACATAGTTACACTGACCATTTGCATATACATGTACATACCTATACGACCACCCTTCGGGTGATAAGGAGGTGAGGGGGGGAGGGACCAACGTCACATTCGATCGATATCACTATCGAACTCACTACCGATCTCACAATCGATCTCAACCGATGGATCTCACAATCGGTCGGACTATCGATGTCACTATCGATCTCACAATCGATATCATAGTCCGTATCGCTATTGATCTCACAATCGATACCACAATCGATCTCACTATCAAACTCACTATCGATCTCATTATCGATCTCACATTCGGTCTCACTATCGATAACACTATCGGTATCGCAATCGATCTCACAATCGATATCGCATTCGGTATCACTGTCGATCTCACTATCGAACGCATTTTCGACATCATCATCGATCTCACATTCGGTATCACTACCGGTCTCACTATCGACATCACAACCGATCTCACAATCGATCTCACAGTCGGTCTCATCATCGATCTCACTATCGAACTCAGTATCGATCTCATTATCGATCTCAATCGATCGATCTCACAATCGATCAGACTATCGATCTCACAATCAATCTCACAATAGATCTCACAATCGATCTCACATTCGGTCTCACGATTAATCTCACTATCGATATCACCATCGATATCACAAACGATCTCCCATTCTGTCTCACAATCGATCTCACTACCGATACCACTATCGATCTCACCATCGATATCACAACCGATCTCACAATCGATCTGACATGCGGTTTCACGTTCGATCACACAACCGATATCACTATCGATCTCACTATCGATCTCACATTCGACCTCACTATCGATCTCACAATCGATCCGCATCACCATCAACAGCATCATCGGGACACCATCAACACCATCATCATCATCATCATCATCATCATGATCATCATCATCATGATCATCATCATCATCATCATCATCATCATCATCAGCAGCACCATCATCATCAGCAGCATCATCATCATCATCATCATCATCATCGGGACACCGCCGGGGCACCGACGGGACACGGGCGGGACACCGCGGGCCCCCGGCCGCCCGGAAGGGAATCATTTGGTCCGGCCGCGCCTCAGCCACACGGGACACCAGCGGGACACGGGCGGGACACCGCGGGCCCCCGGCCGCCCGGAAAGGAGTCATTTGGTCTGGCCGCGCCTCAGCCACACGGGACACCAGCGGGACACTGGCGGGACACCGCGGGCCCCCGGCCGCCCAGAAAGGAGACATTTGGTCCGGCCGCGCTCCAGCCACAGGAGACTTTCTCTCGCCCGCCCACGCAGCTTCGCCTCGCCCGCACGGCACGCACGAATACGAAACCGAAATCGATTTTCCGGTAGGGGGGCTCTCCGTTCCACTTCGATCTCACCCCCTCACCTCCGATCCATACAAACGTATATATATGTACATATGTACTATGCATTCATAGACGCATGTGTGTGCGCATGTACGCTCGCTCGCACTCCGCTAGCGTGCGAATTCCAAAGAACCAAGGTGCATGGCGCGCAGCGCCAATGCAGTCTTGTGTATATATAGATATAAATATATGTGTGTGTGGATATCGGCATGTTTATATTTGTGTATATATATAGACATACATATCAGAGATATGAGAGGCCGACCAGGCCCCTCGGGCGCAGGGCCCGCCCCTCCTCCGTACGATGCGGTCTGCCGAAGCGGCGCGCACCCAGGCGGGTGCCCCGCTTCGGAGGACCGTCACGCTGGGAGCTCGGCCGCCTGCCCGCCCCACACACCCCATCCACTGGACCGTCTCGTCGTCTGCGTCGTCGTTGTCGCAGTCACCGCTACCCCCCTCCTCTTTCTCCTCCTTTCCCTCCTTCGTCTCCTCCTCCTCCTCCTCCTCCTCCTCCTCCTCCTCCTCCTCCTGCTCCTCAACGTCCCAGCCAGAGAAATCGAGCAACGTCGCAATCGAGTCGAAGGGACGCCCCTTACCGTTGATCCCTTCCCAGCCAGAGGGGCGGGGGGTGGAACAGGGGAGGGGGGGGCGGGGAGTGGCGGTGTGGGTTGGGGGGGGAAGAAGGGGGGGAAGGGGGGAGGGGGGAGGGGTCCAGGGGTTGTGACCCCCCCCGTGGGGGAGCATCCATCCCTGTGAGAAGCGTTCTTCGAATCCTTGCCTCCCAAACGCCCCGGGCTCCCCCTTCAGTGTCGGCGGCACTGGCCGTAAGGCCTTCACGATAATCAGAAGCATCATCGTCGTCGTCAGGAGGGGGGCGGGGGGAAGCGGAAGATGAGCTCCTAGTGGCGCGGGAGCAGGGACGGTCTGGAAACAGGCCTGGCACCCCTTTCACCACATTGTGACGCGAATGCACGCACTGCTCCGTCCAGATCTTCCTCCTCCTCCTCCTCCTCCTCCTCCTCCTCCTCCTCCCCCTCCCCCCCCCTCTACCTGATCGAACGAGCCCGAGGAGAACTCGCGGACAAGGGGGAACTCTCCTGGAATGCCTGGGACGCGCGTGCCGAAAATCTATGGCATGTCAGGGGTGCTGGCGCACCGCGGAAATACAACAAAAGGCAGCGCCCCTGGGACCAGCAGGACAAGCCAGCGCGCACCGCACGCCACAGCCTCGGAGGTGGCGTGCGCCGGCCAGAAGCGAGCGGGTGAAAACGACCGCAGCAGAAGAAAGAGGTGGAACGCACAGCCCAGGAGGACTTGGAAACTCCTCGCCGTCTCCAGAAGAACAAGTGGAGGGATGAAGACGAGCCAACCAAATGTCTAGTCACAAATCTGAAGCACCTCCAACACCAGTGCCCCGCTCCTCCAGTTCCTAGTCTGTGTGCCTCAATTCACAGCAGAGGAGGACGAGGACGAGGAGGAGGAGGAGGAGGAGGAGGAGGAGGATGGTGAAAATACGGCAAGGCAAAACGGTTGGAGGCCATCGCCGTCACCCAGGCGACTTTTAGTGACCGCTACGATCTGACATCGAAACGGGGGCCCTGCCAGGCAACGCTGTAGTCAGTCCTGGGGGGCTGCCTGCGGCGCGAGCACGCCGCCATCTGAGGCGGAAGCCCAGCCGCGCTGGCGGGGCGAACCCGTCCTGACGAGGAAGCGAAGGAAGAGGCAGGGAAATAAAAAGAAAAAAAAGGGGGAGTGGGACATTGAGTCGAGTTTAGCCGATTCCCATCCCCAGCGGCGTGGCCTGGGCCCCACTGGCCGATTTGCCCCCCTAGATGGGGATATAGGCTGTTCCCTTCGGGTTTCGAGGGGTGTACCCCTAACTAACTGGGATGGTAATTTGGTGGGGGTCTCGAAGGGGATGGGGATGGGGATGGCAATTAGTTAAACGATACTGAGACACGAAGGAAAAGGGAGGGCGAGGACAGGGAGGCAGGAGCAGGACGGGGCGCAGTGAGGCAGCAGCGGCGGCAGGGCCGATTGGGGCCGCGGGCCGGGTCCCGCTGCCTCCGCCCCGGTCGCCGCCCCGCGACCGGCTGCGGTCGCGCCCGCCCCAGCTGCCGCCGCCGCGGTCGTCGCGGCGGTCGCGATCGCCCCAGCTGCCGCCGCCGCCGCGGTCGTCGCGCCTGCGCGGCGCGCTGCGGGCTCCGCGGGCGCGGCGCGGCGGGCTGGGTTGCCGCACTCCCCGTCCTCCTCGTGCTTCCAAGGGGCCGTGCGCGAGAGAACAGAGCTGCCATTGCGCGGCGGCGTATGCGGGACGCCAGCGCGGCACACCACGTGGAGAAGGTCTCCTCCTCCTCCTCCTCCTCCTCCTCCTCCTCCTCATCCTCCGCCTCTTCCTTCTTCTCCTCCAGCCCCTCTTCCACCACCTCGTCACCAACCTGCTCCTCGCCATCGACTGGTACCGTATTCCATCGTTCTTCGGGAGGGCACGCGCCCCTACGAGCCGTTTTGGCGCTGGGCCAGTTCCCCTTTGATTGACGACATTTCGTGAAGCTGAAGCCATGGCGTCCCCTCAGCTCCGCCAATCGGGCTGGGCGCATCCGCCGCGGTGGAAGAGCTCTACACACGCTGGGCACTCTGAAAGCGGCACGTGGCAGTGTACGATGTGTGGGTGCAGGAAAAGTACAGCCAGAGTCCAGTCTCCCAAGCAGCGCTATCTAAACCAAGGTGGCCCCTGAGAATGGTCGAGGGTCGTCCTGCTCCAGATCGGCCTGCGCCTTTGGCGTCGTCGTCAAATTGTCTCCTCCGCACCCACGTCAGCCTCGGTCTCGCCCTCGCCCTCCTCCCGTCCGCTACACCTCATCCTGCTCCTGATATTCCTCTTTTGTCCCCCTCGCTCCTAGTCCTCCCTTCCTCCTCCTCTTCCGCCTCCTCCGCCTCCTCCTCCGCCTCCTCCTCTTTTTTCGTATTCTTGGTTTTCCTCCTCTTTCTCCTCCTCCTCCTCCTCCTCCTCCTCCTCCTCATCATCCTGTATTTCCTGATATCAATCCTCCTCGTCCCCCTCCTCATACGCATTCCCCCCATCCTATTGGTGCTATGGCTCCTCCTCCTCCTCCTCCTCCTCCTCCTCCTCCTCCTCCACCTCCTCCTCCTCCTCCCTCCTCCTCCTCCTCCTCGTCCTCCTCCTCCTCCTCCTCCTCCCCCTCCTCCTCCTCCTCCTCCTCCTCCTCCTCCTCCTCCTCGTCATATTTATCCTCCTGTCCGCCGTGTTCCCCTTTGTGTTCCTCGTGCTCCTTCTCGTGCTCCTCGTCTCCCTCCTCTTGGCAGTGCGCCTTCTCTTCCTTACCCTTCTCCCGATGATCATTATCATCCTCCTCCTCCTCCTCCTCCTCCTTCTGATTGTCTTGTTCCTCCCTCTCGCATTCATCCTCTTTTTCCTGCTCCTCGTCCTCCCCGTCCGTTTCCTCATCTTCCTCCTCCTCCTCCTTTTGCCGTCTTCCTTTTTCTCGTCCTCCATCCTGCGTTTTCCCTACTCACCGCGCTCTCGATGGAGATGCTGGAGACTTCCCCCACGACTTGCCAAGTACATAGGACGCTCTCCCCTGCAACCCCTTTACAACAAACCAAGGCTTGCGCTTCAGCGCGGGCAACCGCTGGTCCAGGGGTGCCCAAACCCCTCTTGGAACACAACTCGACAAAAAACTGTTCGCCGACGGGGGCCCCACAAAATGTGTGTTTAGCAATCCGTGCTGTGCAAGCTACGCGGTACACTCCATGAGATGCAACCTACGTGGCGCAAGCTATGCAGAGGTATTCACTTGCCGAGCTTGAAAGTATTCAACTCCACTGATCGCGCCGTCATCCCACCCACCCACCCGCAACTTGGTTTGCAAAACCCATGCGGGAGCGATTGCGATGAGTGTTGGGTCTTGGGTGGTGCATTTTCTCTGCGGCCGCGCTAGCCCGCGCATGCTCGCGCGCGCAGCGGCCAACTACTTTAGCGCGACCGACGCGAACGCGGTGGCGCTGACCGCTCGGCACATCCCAGTGGACACTGCAGTGCGAGTCGGCGACTTGGGCGGGCGCAGTATCATGGCAACGTCGACAACGGTAGACACAATGATGATCGTTGCGATGCTGGTGACGATGTTGACAGCGACGACGGGGGCAGCCAGTCACGGCGCCGATGGTGACGCCGACGACGATGACGGCGTCTTCGCGTCGGTGATGAAGGTTTTGGAAGGAATTCGAAGTGCGCGCACGGCAGACGCGCGAGAGTGGCCCGCATGGTATTATTTGACACGGATCGTGCCACCCCAGCACGCGCGCAGGGGCGTTCGCACGATTTCGACATGCTTGCGTGAAGCCCGTTTGGTAGCATTTCATGAAACTGTTGAAAACATCGCGCACGCTTTTGTTGCACATCCGTGTTGCGAAACCACGTGTCTTTATGTTTTGTGGAATCCTTCCGAAACCAACGTTTTTGAACGATTTCGGCATGCGCGCGCGACGACGCGCGCGCACTTCGTCCCATTGTTTGCCAAGGAATCTTGGAAACTTAAATGTTTGTTGGTAAACGAGTGTGCGCGCATGGGATTGATTGCACAAGAACCGAGGGGGTACCGATACTGGCCTGGCTGGGACAAGTAGGGTGGACATTGGTTCAGAATTATGTGTGTTTTGCAGAAGGTTCCCGGGGAATCAAAAAGTCCGGGGGGGAGGGTGGTAGAACCGATCCCCTTGTTGGAAAGAAAAATCCATGTAATGCGATCGATGCGGTGCAGGCCATGTGATGCAGTCTATGTTGTGTTATCTATGCGGCGACGGGGCGGCGACGAGCGGCGACGGCGACCACGGAGCTGCCAGACCGCTACCCAGGCCCAGAAGACGGGCGGCGACGAGGCGACAACCGGGCTACGACGGCAAGCACGGAGCCGCCAAACCGTCAGCCAGACCCAGAAGACGGGCGGCGACGAGGCGGCGACGGGTCGGCGACGGCGAGCGCGGAGCCGCCAGACCGCCAGCCAGGCCGAAGAGAATAGGAACTCCTAAGTGCGAACGCTGTCTGGGGATTGTAATCAGATTGTTCGTTCGGATCTGCCTCAAGTGGAACGAGCCCGGCCACCTCTCGCTCGGCATGTCGGAGCCTGAAATTGCGACGAACATGTATCAGGCGAAACGCGTCAGACAATCTCTCGCTTAGCGTCTTGGAGCTCAGACTCGCGAAGATGTCTCAGGCGAAACGCGCTGCACCACCCCGCGCGCAGCATCTCGGAGTCCAGAATTGCGAGGGTGCCTCAGGCGGAGCGCGCTGGACCACCCACCTCTCGCTCGGCGTCTTGGAGCTCAGACTTGCGAGGATGTCTCAGGTGAAACGCGGTGGATCACCTCTCGCGCGGCATCTCGGAGATCATGTGTCAAGGACCTCAGGCGAGACGGGCAGGACCATCGCCCGAGCGGTTCCTAAGCCTAGAATTTCGAGGATGTCTCGGGCGATACGCCCACTCCTGGACAACGCAGAAACGAGAATTGTGAGAACGCCTCTCGACTACACGCAAGAGCGACCCTGGGTAAGAGTGACCTTTGGTGAGCGGTCCTTTGGGGGCCGCGGGGGGACCAAACACGAGCGCGCAAGACGCTAATACCGCATCGCGTTCGGCCATCGGGGGCTCCATTGGGCCCGCACCAAAGGTCACTCTGGCGAAAGGTCAGTCTTACGTGTAGTCGAGCCTCAAGCGAAAACGGCCCGGACAACCTCAGAGTGCTGAGGATGTCTCTGTGCGGCGGTCCCTCGGCCAGAACCATCTTCTACCACAACAGCTTTCCAATTAGCACAGCTGTTTGGAGAACAAGGCCAACTGGCAGCAGTGCAAGATTTGCTGGGAATGTCGGGGCCTCCCTTCGTTCGCGGCGCCTTGCGATCCCCGCGGATAGTGGGACTCATCGCCGCCAGGCCAGTGGACAAGCCAGTCCCCTGGTGTGGGGTCTCTTCCGGCTCGGCCTGATCCTCTATTTCCCTATCTAGGCTCTGCCTAGAAAGGTTCTTACTCGGTGTGCTTAAAGGGCCGGGCAGTGCTACCCGCTCCGGGCGGTTCCCCCAATATCCGCCCAGCGGTTCCCCCGGCATCCGCCCCGCGGTTCCCCCAGTTGCGGCCCTGCTTAGCTTAGCTTAGCTTATCTTAGCTTGGCTTGGCTTGGCTTAGCTTATCTCATCTTAGCTTAGCTTAGCCTAGCCTAGCTTAGCTTAGCTTAGCTTAGCTTGAGTTTAGCGTAACTTAACATATAGCATCTTAATGTAGTTTAGTCTAACCTAGTTTAGCTTAAATTAGCTTAGCTTACATTAGCTTACCTTAGCTTGTTTTAGCTTAGGTTAGCTTAGCTCAGCTTATATTAGTTTAGCTTTGCTTATCCCATCTTAGCTTAGCTTAGCTTAGCTTGGCTTGACTTAGCTTAGCTTAGCCTAGCTTAGCTTAGCCTAGCCTAGCCTTGCTTAGCTTAGCTTAGCTTAGCTTAGCCTGGCTTAGCTTAGCTTAGCTCAGCTTAGGCTATAGCATCTTAGCTTAGCTTAGCTTAGCTTAGCTTAGCATAGTTCATATTAGCTTAGCTTAGCTTCGCTTAGCTTAGCCTAGCCTAGCCTAGCTTAGCTTAGCTTAGCTTAGCTTAGCTTAGCTTAGCTTAGCGCATCTTAGCTTAGCTTAGCTATCTTAGCTTAGCTTAGCTTAGCTTAGCTTATGCTGCCTTCCTAAGGGCTCCAACTCCTAGGTAGGGTCGCACTGGGATAATCCTGCTGGTGGAATCGACTCGGGCTTCGCTTCGGGAGGTGCCGCTGCCCACCTGCAGCCCCGCCCATCGTCATCCCAGATGGTCCTGGTATTATTAGAATCGTCATTATCCCCCTCGTCATTATCCCCCTCCATAGTCTCCCCTCTTCCCTCTTCTCTCTTCCTTTTCCTCCTCCTACCCTATCCTCCTCATCCTCCCACCTGCTCAAATGTCAAACTTCCCCGCTCTCATCTCATATTACTTTTCTTGCTCCTCCGCAATGTCATCGCTCTGCTGCTGCTCTTCACCCAACTCCGATCGACGACGCCTAACACGAAGACCAAGATGACAACGACGACGACGACGACCTCGACGACGACGACGACTACGACGACGGCGCAGACAGCACAGACGATGAATACGGAACGCAAGAATACGAAGAGGTTGTCGGGCCAGCGGCGTCCGCACCTGTCCCTGTCCCAATCTCCGTAGCCCATTGCTGCTCCTGTGGGAGCGCTGGCCCTGACCTGGCGGACACAGGAGCGGCACAAGACCAGGCTCTTCATAGAATATCAAGACAGCATTAGCACAAACTTTCGGAGGTCCGCGCGGATCCGGCGCCAGAGGCGCCGCCAGGGGTGTCCAGTGCCGACCCAACAAATCCGCACGGACCTCCGAAAGCTTGTGTTTGAACTTGTGTGTCACTCGGCGATTCCAAAGGGTGTGGATTGCAAAGGGTGCGGTTTGCGACCTGCACCATGGGGGCTGGCGAGAACCTCGCTAGAGTTCTCCGCCCTGCCACGAGGAAGCCCGACGAAGGCAACGTGGTGCTACCCAAGCCCCAACGACGCAGATCGCAAACCAAACCCCTCTGTAGTCGTCGACTCTTCCTCGGCCCTGCGCTCGAGACTGGCCTGCTTCGGGCAGCAAGCGGTCCCCAACCTTGAGAACGCCCGCCCTCGGGCAGGTGTTCCCCACGGCAGGACGCGGGGAAACGTAAGACTCGAGCAAGCCGGAACTCGGGTTTGCCGACTTTTTTTTGACGAGCGCGTCCTGGATTTTGACGGTCCCGTTTTCGTGGGATGTCTGCAGCGGGAGCCCGCGTCAAATTTCAGATTGGGTCTCGTCAATTTGATGATGGCCCCCGTCAGGCCAACTGGAGTCCCCCGTACCCGAGTCGTACGTCTCCTGGGCTCGGTGCCGTTCTTCGTCCGCTGAATGACGGGAGGCGGGGCGGGGGGGCTGCGGATAGCCAGCGGCGGCTGCAAACGGGGCCGGAACATAAAAGGCGCGCGGGTGCGAGGAGGCTCGGGTGTCACGGGGGCGGGAGAGGGAAAAAAAAGGGGCATGGGAAGAGCGGAATGGGGAACGGAATTGAAGAGGGGGGATGGAGGCGCAGAGGTGGGGAAGGGGCTGGGAGGGGGGAGAAGGTGATAGCGAAGTGGGGCGACGGGGAACGGTGGGATGGGAGGAGACGGGGGAGAAGAGAGGGGGAGGAGGGCAAACTTGGCGCGCTAGCGCCAAATCTGACATCCTATCCTTCACCAAGGTCTCATCCCTTCCGATTGCGCTGTCTTTCCATATCCGCGGATGCGTGTCATCGCTGATTTGAAAATTCCACCCAAAAAACCATATGTAGTGTTATGCGCAATCGGGAAAAAAAGGGAGTTGCGCACGTAGGAGGAGGAGAAAGAAGATGTCGCATGAGCAGGAGGATGGGCAGGAGGAATACGGAGAAAACAAGGAGGATATTCAAAGAAGGGGGCGACAGCAAAGAGCAACAACGCGAGCTGCAGTGGAAGCAGCGGGAGGAGCAGAACGACTAGGGGAAGGCGGAGGAGGAGAAACGGAAAGGGCGTCAGCGATGAAACAAAACTCGGAACCAGAAAAGTCGCCCACGCTGGGGCGACAGTGCGGTTCTGAATGACAGATTCTTCAAACGAAGAAACGAAGATCCGAACATGGGGCCCATGCTGCAGCGGGGAGGCCTTCTTCAAGGGCCCACATCCATCGGATTGTAGAACACACCATCGAAACAAACCAAGCAACAACATGTACATCCTGCGTGTAGACACACAATACGCGGAGAAAATCGACAACTTCCTGGATGGAGGCGGAATCAGAAAAGAGAGGCGGATATTCATGATGTGCAGCAGAGGAAGATAAGGAGGGAAGCGGGGGAAAGTGGAAGGGAGGAGGAACCGGAGGGACGGGCAGGAGGAAGACAGGAAAACAAATGAGGGTGGAGTGGTCTCAGGCAAAGCGGAGGACGGGAGGGAAAGGGGAAAGGGGGGGCAACGGGCGAATGTTCAAGCCGACGCTTACTTGACAACGGAAAGGGAGTCCGCATTTTGGCTAAAACGCATCAATCGGTATACCGGAAATTGGCTGGATCGTCGGGTTGATGAAAGCGCACGGGCTATGGAATTTCGACCGCCCTCTCTGATTAGCCTGGGCGGTCCTGGAAAAGAGCACCGAAATAATACAGGAAATGGCCTCCAATCCGATCCCGGCTCAAAAATGAGAATGTCTACTGCGCCGAGCTCAAAATTGGAAATATCGACCGCACCTGGAAAGAAAGTCTTGGATGTGATGTCGCCGATAACAGCTGAAGTCGCAAAAGACTGCTCGGGTCAGGAGGAGGAGGAGGGCGAAGGAGAGAGCGTAATAGTTCGAACAAATATGTCTGCCCTGGCCCGGCGGGTTGCAAATGCCGCCCGGCGGGGGAAACGGCAAAAAGGACGTGGGTGGGGACCCCCCCCCTTGCGCGGACAAACATGCAGCCCCCGATCTAAAAACAAATATACGTAACGGTCGGTTCGTGGCGATCAGGGCCTGACGCGCCCCGCCCGCGCACCCGAACAAGAGGCGTCAGCGTCCGGCGCGCTTGGGTCTGCGCGCGTCCGCACCTCAGCGAAACGCGGCGCTGCCTTGGGGCATCCCTCGCAGCGGCCCAACGCCAGGACCGCGGAACAGCTGCCGGCCGTCTTCGCAGCGCACCCGAGGGAGGAAAGGCGAGCTAGCACCGGCGTGCTCACGGAGAGCATCAAGGCGCGCATGGAGGGTTCCTTGGAGAATGACCCCAAGAGAAGCGGTCGGGCGGAAGGCCTGTTGTACGTCGTTCCTTGCGGACTGAGCTCGTTGGACTCTGTCCAGCAGCTGAGCTCGTTGGGGCCTGCCCCGCAGAAGGCTGGGCTGCGCCTGGATGGAGGGGCGGGATTGCGCGAGGTATGCGGCGCGCTGCTACAACGCCGTGATCACAGCGATGAGAGCGCGGCTTCTCATTCCCAGTCGGGCCGCTGCCTCGCCGCCCCGAGGAGCTGCGCGAGGGCGCGCCAGCCATCGTGTTCCACCAGTGCATGCGCCCGTTTGGGTGTTGGGAGGGTCGTCAGTCCCCGTGCTGGGCGGAGGGGGGGGCCACCTGGCGGCCATGGATGGCGGCCGCGGAGGCGGCGCCCCCAAAGGCACCGCTCCTGCATGCGTTCGATGACTCTGGACTGCGCTTCCATCGTCGGCGTCGCGACCGTCGCCATCGCGACCTCCGATTGGAGCGGCGACGGTTTCTTCATGGTTGTCCATGGCCGCGACGAGCCCGATGAGGTCCTCGCCTTCCTCTTCGAAATCGTCGGCTGGGCCGCCCCGTGGGTCGTCGAGACCGCCGCAGAAGTGCAGCCTCGCGGTTGCGAGGGTCGACAGGCGAGCCCGGTGGCCCGCCACTTCCACGGCCTCTGGCGAGCGGGCTGGGCTGCATCTGGCTCAGTTCAGCCCGAGAGCACCCGGCGAATTTGCGCGTCAGAGGTTTCGCGCAGCGACGACTTTCATAGCCCGCGACAGCAGAGCTGTTAAGAACCGCTTCGAACGCGCGCCGCCACTTGGCTCTGCCCATGGCATCTGTCTGCGTTGGCGCGCAGACGTGGCCCAGCAGCGGCGAGCTCGTCTGCGCGGCGGTCGAAGGCTTGCGATCGGCGCGATTCGACTTTCGCTTCTGCCTTGCCCCCCGAGATGGATTTCGACATGCCGGGCCTTGAACGCGCCAGGTTTGGCATGTAGTGCACGGCGGATACTTTGCCAGAGATCGACCTGGGCCCCAATTAATTGCGGCGACTTTCCTGCGATGGGGTGCCTCGATACCGTCGGCAATGGCTTCGTTGTCAATGAATGCGTGGACAGGCCGCTCAGCACTAGCCAGCATGTGGACCGGGGCAGGGGCCTCGGCGCGTCGCGCGGACCGGGTCAAGCTGCGCGAACGACCTCAATGGCCAGACTGGCGGACATGCCAGCAACGGACTCCGACGCAAGCTCTGGCACAGAGCGGGCGGGCATAGCGCGCAGGCTGCGGCGGCGGCCGCGCAAACCCAACTGGCCCCCGCGTCGTCGTCGGCGCACCCCCCGAAGAAATCAGCGTCGGACCCCCCTGGAAGGAGGCCGGGGCATGGGCGGTGACGGCGCGTCCTCTACCATGGCGGCCTGAATAAGGCCCAGACGACGCGGGTCCTCCCCGCGCGCCCCGCAATGCCATCTGCGAAGCGAGGTGTCTCTCCATTGCGAATCAGCGACGATGGCGTTCAAGGCGGCCCGTTCCCCTTCCCAGCAATGGCATGTCCAGTCCGCGCGCTCCCGGGTTGCAATTCTCGCTTGCGCCATCTGCGCAGCGGCGATGGGTCGGGCGAAATGCCCGCGCGGCCCCCGCTCTGCTGGGCGCGCGTGCCGCCGCAGCAGTTGTTGCAGAAATGGCGGGGCTGCCGGACAGAACGCTCTGCCCTGCCATTGGCGATATGTCGCCAACAAGTTACAATCGTTCGACCGCGGCGACCGCGCGCCCGGGTCGCGCTCGGCAGCAGAGGCCCGTCGGAAGAAGGGTCTTCGCCGCAGCGATCGGGGCGCGCACGTGGACAGGCCGACCGGCAGGGCAGGTGCAACCCAGACAGGCGGGCGCCCCAGTCGCCATGCATCATGCCACAGGATGGCCAGTCTCACTACAGTTCAACCGTAGTTTGCCAGGCTCGACCAGTAAGGCCTTCCCTCGGAAGGTCTGCGCGCGGTCGCGCAGCTCTTCAGCTTCGGCGCTGAGACTAGTCTCTCCGCGCCTGTCTCCGCAGCCCGAGAGGGTCGCCCCCCTGCGCCGCGGCGCCCAGCTCAAGGGCGCGCCCAGGGACAACGAGATCGCAGAGGGCCCACTGCGAGATCCGGGATCGCACCTTGGGCCGAGCGGCAGCGAAAGTCGACCTGTCATTGATTGTTCGCACACTCGCGCGGGGGGGCTTGGTCGTCGGCGCCAGCGGCGCGCGCTAGCGGCGACGCGGCCTGGCCGAGCGGGCGCGAGCACGGGCGCCTCCAGGGGGGCACCCAGCGAGCGGGAGCCGGGCAGTGGCGCGCCGAACTCTGGCATCCGCGGTGGCCGCCAAGTTCAGGATGGATCCGCTACAAGCGCTGCGCTGATGTAACACTCAGGCGCTTCGCCCGGCGATGAGCTTGCAGCTGGCGCCCGCTGAATCGGAGAGCCGCCTCCCGGCGGTGGACGTCCTCGCCGACGGCCCAGCCCGCAATTTTACCGGGGTGGTTTTGCTGGACTTCAGAGGCGGTTGACACGGGCGGTCTCTTCAAGAAAGGCCTGGATCTCTCTGGCACTGGGCGCGGCGGAGTCACTGTCGCCGACGCAGGTCACGCTCAGCGACCGCGGCGCGCGGCGGCGCCGTCTCTCGGCCCAGACACGCAACAGAGAGTTTCACGTCGTCGAGGAAGAAGGAACTGCCTCGAAGGCGGCCGCTGGTTCGCGCCAAGGGTTAACGAGACGCCCCTCGATGCGACTGTAAATCCGACGTTGAATCGCAATGACATCTTCTGACTGGAACGACGCGACAGGAGACGTCCCGCGTGCAACGCCAAGTTGAACCCGATGTCCGCGACGAGGTAGTCGAAGCACTTTTGCCTGTCGAGCGCGGCTCCAAACAGGGTGGCGCGTCCGATGGTGGCGTGCGGTGCCGCGCCGAGGCTCGCTGGGCGAGCCCAGTGGGCTCTCCATGATGCTAATCTCCGGTACATCCATATCGACAGGACTGAGGGCAAACGTTGGTCAATGGGCAGTTCCCCGTTCCCTTTTCCGATGGCAGGGGTTCGGGATGTGGGGGAGGGGCTCAGGCACGTTCCCCGTGCGTTGCTTAGCTTTCAGGCTTACAAAGAAAGGACTCCGTCGGGCCAGGTCGGCTGCGGATGACATGGGTGGGCGCCTCATCAGTCAGGACGAAAGGTGCAGCAGGGGCGGGG